GAGTTCAGTTCCAGATGACTGAAACAAAGGGAATATTACAATAAAGCAAGTCAAATATATTTTTTGGTTTCCAGTGCATTTAAAGTTATGTTTATAGTATAGTCTACTAAGAGTAATAGCATCATGTCTAAAAAACTCAATATATCTTAGTTAAAAAATACTATATTGCTAAAAATGTTCACCATCATCTGAGCGTTGAACAAGTCATAACCACTGATCACAGATCACTGTAACAAATATAATAATGAAAAATTTTGAAATATTTCAAGAATTAACAAAATGTGGACAGCCCTGGTGACTCAGCGGTTTAGCGCCGCCTTCAGGCTAGGGTGTGATCCTGGAGACCCAGGATCGAGTCCCACGTTGGGCTCCCTGCATGGAGTAGCTTCTCCCTCTGCCTGTGTCTCTGCCTCTCTCTCTCTCTGTGTCTCTCATGAATAAATAAATAAAATCTTAAAAAAAAAGAATTACCAAAATGTGATATGGAGATATGAAGTGAGCAAATGTTGGAAAAGTGTCACTGAGAGACTTGCTCAATGCAGGGTCACCACCGAACTTCAATTTGGAAAAAAAATGCATTATTCATGAAGTGCAACAGAACGAGGTATGTCTGCATAAAACTTCTGGGAATTGTATCTATAGGGAGATGGAATATCCTTTTTGGTCTTTTTTCATGATGCCTGGAATGTGAACACAATGTCCAAGCCTGAGAAGTGGAAGCTGTGTCATGAAGAGAGCAAAGGAGCAAAATGGGAGCCTGGATACTTAATAAGTTGGTGGAGTCAAAAAAAAAAAAAAAAAAGTTGGTGGAGTCACAACACCAAGCCTTATTGTTCTTTCCTAACTTTGTGTATATGAAAGAAACAAATTCATATCTTATCTAAGCCACTAGTCTTTGGAGGTTTCTGTTATAGTCAATCTTAGTCCTAACACAAAGTATGTATATAGGTAGGGATGAGCAGGCTTATGCACACAGGTGCACATACAAACATGTGAGCAAGTTTATAGTGATAGTAGGAGCATGGACATTCATTCATTTGCCTATTAATATTTTTCTTTATATTTTAAAAAGATTTTATTTATTTATTCATAGAGACACACACACAGAGAGAGAGAGAGAGAGGCAGAGACACAGAGGGAGAAGCAGGCTCTATGCAGGTAGCCCGACATGGGACTCGATCCTGGGTCTCCAGGACTACACCCCGGGCTGCAGGTGGCACTAAACTGCTGTGCCACTGGGGCTGCCCTTTTCCTTTATTTTTTATTTTTTATTTTTTAATTTAAAAAAATTTTTTTTTTTTTTATATTTATGGTAGTCACAGAGAGATATATAGAGAGAGGCAGAGACATAGGCAGAGGGAGAAGCAGGCTCCATGCACCGGGAGCCTGACGTGGGATTCGATCCCGGGTCTCCAGGATCGCGCCCTGGGCCAAAGGCAAGCGCCAAACCGCTGCGCCACCCAGGGATCCCTCTTTATTTTTTAAAAAAGATTTTATTTATTTATTTGAGAGAGAGAACATGAGCAGGGGGAGGGGCAGATGGAGAGGGAGAAACAGACTCCCTACAAAGCAGGGAGGCCAATGCGGGACTTGATCCCAGGACTCCAGGATCATCATTCTAGCTGAAGGCAGACCCCAACCAAATGAGCCATCCAGACACCCCTGCCTACTTATACTAATTGAGCACCCATCAAGTGCAAGTCACCAGGATAGGACCAATAAGGAAGATGAAGACAGATCAGAGAGGATTTTTCTAGTTATAGATGGTTCTTAATCTTTTCTGGCTTAAGAAGCCCTAGAGAATCTTTTTTTTTTTCTTTAAGATTTTATTTATTTATGAGAGACACATACAGAGAGAGAGGCAGAGACACTCTGCCAAGGGAGAAGCAGGCTCCATGCTGGGAGCCTGATGTGGGACTCAATCCCAGGTCTCCAGGATCAGGCCCTGGGCTAAAGGTGGTGCTAAACCGCTGAGCCACCTGGGCTGCCCAGTCCTAGAGAATCTAAGGAAAACTTTTCCATATTTAAACACACACGTTGGGCAGCCCGGGTGGCCCAGTGGTTTAGCGCCGCCTTCAGCTCAGGGTGTGATTCTGGAGACCCTGGATCGAGTCCCACATCAAGCTCCCTGCATGGAGCCTGCTTCTCCCTCTGCCTGTGTCTCTGCCTCTCTGTCTCTCATGAATACATGAATAATAATAAAAAAAACCACACATGCACACACACAAAAATACACATACACATATGTCCATGCACACATAATATTAATTACAGTGGCCAGATTGGAACCTCCTACATACTCCTATTTGGTCACCTTTCCTGAAACAATTCAGCCCACTTCTGATTCCTGCTAGGGATGGGCTGCTGTTTTATGGAGTTTAGCCCACAGCTGGGGAAGATTGAAGCAAGGCAGATCCAGATATGGAACACACTGACCGAAGTTGAGAACCTACGGAGATGGAGTAGCCATGATGATGATACAATTCTGATCATTAAGTGTATTAGTCAGATAATTTATTGCTTATAACAACAAACATTTATTATCTCCTGGCTTTTGAGGGTTAAGAAATTGAAGAGTGACTTGGCTTGGCAGTTTTGTCTTTGGGTTGGTTGCTCATGGGGTTTTGGCCAAAGTGTCTATGGGGGCTAGTGGATTTGCCTGCAAGATGGTTCTCTCATATGGCTGCAGGTATTTAGCCTGTGGGCCTCTCCAGAGGCCTATGTTGAGTGTCCTAACAACATGGTATTTGACTTCCTCAGATTGAGTGACCCAGACAAGGGCCAGGTGGAAGCCACAATATCTTTTATGGCCGAGCCTTGGAAATCACAGTGTCACTTCTGCTTTATTTTACTTATTAAAAGTGAGTTACTGGGGCACGTGGTGGCTCAGTCAGTTGAGCGTCCGACTCTTAATCTCAGGTCTTCGTTTCAGGGGTGAGTTCAGGCCCTGTGGTGGCTCTATGCTAGGTGCAGAGCCTCCTAAAAAAAAAGTGAGTTGGGGCAGCTCTGGTGGCTTAGCGGTTTAGAGCCACCGTCAGTCCAGGGCCTGATCCTGGAGACCCAGAGTCCCCTGTCGGGCTCCCTGCATGGAGCCTGCTTCTCCCTCTGCCTCTTTCTCTCTCTGTGTCTCTAAAAAATAAATAAAATCTTAAACAAAAAAGTGAGTTATTAAGTCCAGCTAGACTCAGTAGAAATGGAAAAACTCCACCTTTTTAGAAGAGGACTGTCAGATAAATTGTGGATATATTTTAAAATCACTACACCAAGAAATCTTCTACCTATTAAAGCAATTTCTAGGTAGTTTGATAACAGGAGGTGATTGAGAACATTTCAATCTTGGAAAGAAAGCCATTTCTCCTGGCAGGGTTTATGTGTTGGGCTACTGTAGGTTGGTTAATGTGAATCACTCTGCCAGATCCTGCTCAGTCGCAGGTGGACTGACAAAATTAAGATCTTGGCTTCACTGTTGAGGATCTAAGGGTATTGCTAACCTTCTAGTTGGCAGAGTCTCCGTCCATTTTCGACCGCAGCCTCGCTTCCTCTCACCTAGTGCTAAGTATATTGTAGGTTCAGCCGTTTTTAGTACAACTATATCGAGGGGACAGGTCAAAGGATCTGAGGGGAGGGGCCTCTTAAACATTTCAAATGGTGGAACAACTGTGCTCAAAAGCAAAGATGCGTGCTGAATCAGTTATCTGACCCTCTTTTGGGACAATTATTTTCTACCTTGTATTACAATCCTGCCGCAACCTCCCTCCTAAGTGAGTTCGCAGGCTTATGTGTGTGTACAGTCTCCCCAGGAGTTAGCACAGAGCTGGGCAGGGAGGAGGGTCATATCGAGTATTCACTGAAAGTCTATGCACGAAGGGCTCCTCGATATCCTCCGAGGATTCCTGCACTGACTGGGGTCCAGGGCACTTCAACATCAAAAGAGGCTTTGCTCCTCGGCCGCCCCCGCCCCTTGCAAGTAAGTATTAGTTCCGTCCGCACAGTTTCTCTCTCCCCCCCCCCCCCCCCGACAGCGCCGCGGGGAGGGAGCGGAGACTTCGGTCAGAAACGCACGTCCCGGGATCCCTGGGGGGCGCAGCGGTTTGGCGCCTGCCTTTGGCCCAGGGCGCGATCCTGGAGACCCGGGATCAAATCCCACATCGGGCTCCCGGTGCGTGGAGCCTGCTTCTCCCTCTGCCTGAGTCTCTGCCTCTCTCTCTCTCTCTCTCTCTCTGTGACTATCATGAATAAATAAAAAATTAAAAAAAAAAAAAAGAAAAAAAGAAACGCACGTCCCGGGAAGTCCGCAGGTGCCTGGGCTGTGCACACGGCCCCACTCGCCTCCCGTCTCCGCGTACGAAGACGAGGGACCTTGGGACCTTGCCAGCAGCTCTCCCCTCCAGCAGGAGCCCCACCCTCGGCCCGCGGGGCACGAACCTTCTGCACCCTGCTGGGTCCCGGCCGCAGGCCCCTGCCCCGGTCTCCCCCACGCCCTGCTCCACTAAGGTTCCGGTCAGACGCAGCCTCGCCGGCCCCGCGCCCCTCCGGACTCCGGGTCACGGACGTGGGACTACAACCCCCAGAGGCCTCGGGCGCCGCCCGGCCCGAGCGCTCTCCGGCCGCTGATTGGCTGTGCGCTCGGGGCGGGGCCGCCGACCGGCCGGCGCGGTCTGCACGTGCGCGCGACGGGCGGCTGCATGGCTGTGCTCCGCGGCCTCGGGGCGGCCCGCGCGGCGCCGGGGCTGTGGCGGCGGGCGGCGCGGGCGCGGGCGTCGGCGGGGCTGGGGGGCCGCCGCCCCGGGAGAGGCCACGCGGTGGACGCCGCGCAGGTGAGGACTGCCAAGTTCCGGCCGGGCCCGCCTTCGGGCTGGGGGTGGGCCCGGCCGGGGGAGGGAGGGGCCGCGGGCCTCGGTGCCGGGGGTCCCTGCCCCGCGCGTCCCTCCCCCCCGCAGTCGGCGGCGGGCCGTGGGGCCGTGGGGCCGTGGGGCCCTGCGCCCCTGCGGCCCTGCGGCCCTGCGCCCCTGCGGCCCTGCGCCCCTGCGCCCCTGCGCCCGGGGGAGGCGTTACTCCAGCCGGGCCGCGAGCACCACGCGCGCAGGGCGCTCCGGGACCGAGTGGTGGCCGCGCTCCGCCGGCCGTGCGCCGAGTGCTCGGCGGGTTCCGTGCCCATTCCCCGCTCGGGTTGTGAGCCCGCGCTGCTTCATGATTCTCCGGGTGAGAGCCTCTCGGTCTTCACTCCAGCTGCATTTGAAAGAAATTTGGGAAGTGGCGATGGACCCCCCCCCCCCCCCCGGGAGCCCGGAGACGAATGTGGGTTTCGTGCGGGCTCTTCACTCTGGCCCCGTTTGCTCGCGGGCCAGCCCATGCTGAGCACCTGCTGCCTGCAAGATCTGAGGGGCGAGGAACAGACCTGCGGAGCGTCCCTGATTCGTGCAGGTGCCTCAGTGATGATGATTCTCTCGACAGCTTTGGACGTAAATGTAACCCTGCAGCAAGGAAGCTGAGGCTTGGAGTCAGGTTTTTAAGTACTTTTCTTAGTGAGGCCAAACAGCTGGCGGACTCTGAGCCAGTGGGCAGATCTGTCACCCTCACTTTCCCCCTGGGCCATTGGCTTTTTTTTTTTTTTTAAAGGATAACTTCCTTTTCTAAAACCACAATTTCTGTATGTAATGATGATTTTTTAAAAGATTTCATTTATTTATTCATGACAGAGAGAGAGAGAGAGAGAGAGAGAGAGAGAGAGAGGGGCAGAGACACAGGCAGAGGGAGAAGCAGGCCCCATGCAGGAAGCCGGTTGTGGGACTGGATCCGGGGTCTCCAGGATCACGCCCTGGGCTGAAGGCAGGCGCTAAACCGCTGCGCCACCGGGGCTGCCCTGTAATGATACTTTTTAAAAAGAAGATTTTATTTATTCATGAGACAGTCAGAGAAGCAGAGACACAGGCAGAGAGAGAAATAGGATCCCTGAAGGGAACCTGATGCGGAACTTCTTCCGGGACTCTGGGATCATGACCTGAGCTGAAGGCAGATGGTCAACCATCTGAGCCACCCAGGCATCCCAATAATGATAATATTGTACATTTTAAAAAAAGATTTATTTATTCATGAGAGACCCACAGAGAGGCAGAGACATAGGCAGAGGGAGAAGCAGACTTCTCGCAGGGAGCCCAATGTGGGACTCCATCCAGGATCCTGGGATCACACGCTGAGCTGAAGGCAGATGGTAATTTTTATAGTGCTTTCACAGTGACCCCTCGATAATTTTAAATAACTACTTATTTCTAAAAACACATAGTACTTACTTTGTGCCAGACACTTCACAATTATTATTTTGTACAATTTTCATAACAACTCTGTGAGATAAGTACTGTTATTCCATTTTCACAGTGAAGGAACTGAAGCAAGGAGAGGTTAAGCACCTTGCCCATGGGCATAGAGCTGGTCAGAGGTAGAATCTGGAATCCAGAGCGCTCTGGAGCTAGCTAGAGTCCTGGCTCTCACTGTTATTATTTTGCAACAGCTAAGATTCAAAGAAGTTAGGTGACTTGACCAGTGTTGCAGAGCCAGAAGTGACCACACTGGAAGCATAGAATGAGAATATGTTGTTAGAAGGACTTATGCTGTCATTTATAACTATTGTATTGATTGCATCATCTTTGCAAGGTCCTGAGCTATTTCCAAGTGACTTTCTTTTTGTTTGTTTGTTTGTTTTCCAAGTGACTTTCTGATAGAGTAGAAAAAAAGGGAAGAAAGGGAAGAAAGGGATGTAGCATAGCACATTTTGGAGTACTAACTTTATTTTTAAGATTTTATTTATTCATGAGAGAGAGAGAGAGAGAGAGAGAGAGAGAGAGAGAGAGAGAGGCAGGCAGGCAGAGACACAGGCAGAGGGAAAAGCACGCTCCATGCAGGGAGCCTGATGTGGGACTTGATCTCGGGACTCCAGGATCATGTCCTGGGCCGAAGGCAGGCACCAAACTGCTGAGCCACCAGGCATCCCAAGATATTTTATTTTTTAAAACTGTATAAGTTAAAAAAAAAAACTATATAAGTTTTCAAAAATAAAAAAAAACAGAATAATATATGAACCCAATTTCAGTAGTTATTGACATTTTGCCACATTTGCTTTGCTGTCTTCTTCCCCTCCCTTTTATTCCCAGCTATAAGATTTTAAAATGAATGGCAGATTTCTTGTCACTTAATCCCTAAATTCTTCTGTGGGTACCTCTAAGAAAATGACATTTTAAGCATAACTAAATGCTGTTATCATACCTAACAATATTAGTAATTTCTGAATATAACTTAAAATCCTGTCATTTATTTATTTTTTTAAAGATTTATTTATTCTGAGAGAGAGAGAGAGAGAGGCAGAGACACACAGGCAGAGGGAGAAGCAGGATCCTTGCAGGGAGCCCAATGCAGGACCTAATCCCGGATCCTAGGATCACGCCCTAAGCCGAAGGCAGACGCCCAACCGCTGAACCACCCAGCCATCCCAAAATCCTGTCCTTAAAATCTCCCTGATTGTCTCAAAATTATGGGCAGATAAGTTTTACATGTAAGCTTTCATTTTTTTTAAAATTTTTATTTATTTATGATAGTCACACACACACACAGAGAGGGAGAGAGAGAGGCAGAGACATAGGCAGGGGGAGAAGCAGGCTCCATGCACCGGGAACCCGACGTGGGATTCAATCCTGGGTCTCCAGGATCACACCCCGGGCCAAAGGCAGGCAACCCCCTGTGCCACCCAGGGATCCCACATGTAAGCTTTCAGTAGCAAGTCCATACACTACAAGAAAAAAGTCAGGTCGTGCTCTAGAACAACATAGTCCTTACCTCCAGGGACCTGTCTTCTAAGAGTCACTAACTGTTTGCCTTTGGGAATGGATTTGGTGGTCAGGTAATGCCGCAGGGGAAAGTTCTCTTATTTGGCTGAACCCTTCATTCATCCTTTGAGTCCTTCAAACATTAAGTCAACCTTTTGTTAAGTACCTGTGAGACCGTAAGGGCTGCACTAGGGGTGGGAGTTTAAGGGAAGATCACACCCCTCCTCCCTCTGGTCCTGGGCAGCGATTCTCTTTGAGAAGAATAAAATGATGACATCAGAAAAGAGCCATAGATTCTTTCCCCAGGAAAAATGGAAATTGAGTTTTCAGGGTTTTTTTGGCCACTCTAATACCTATCCATGGGCCCCCGGTTAGGACCCCCATTCTAGCAGGCTTTGTTGAGGAAGAGGGGGGTCCTCCAGGGATCCTTGTGGGCCATCTGGTGCATGAGCACACCGAATACATAGAGAAACGCAATCTCACATGGCTGGGGGCTGGTGGGAGGTGGAACAGTGTGCTCCAACACAGACACCTCAGTACTTCTTGTGTCCCTTCTTTACTCTCAGATGCTGCCGTGGGGGTCATGGAGTGAGCTCCGACTTTGTCACAAGCTGAGTTTAAGGCCGACTCTGGGTGAAGCGCTTGTGAACTTGGTCACCTTTGAGTTTGGTTTCTTATTCATCCAGTCACATTGCCCAGTGAATCCATATTGAGCATTATGTACAAACCAGGCCCCCTTTGCTAGGTATTGTCAATTGGAGATAATGACACCCACCCCCAGAGAATTGGTACAAGGATTAAGTTAGCATACCTTTGTCATTTGTCCAGCTCAGAGCTCCGTATGGCTACGCCTCTGGAGTACGACCAGCAACAGTCTCTGGAGCCAAGAGTTTAGGTATTTCCCTCGTGGCATGTGAGATTTGACAAGTGTCTGCTGGAGGTCAGAATTTCTTTCCTGCTTATTTGAGTTGCTTGCCCTTCTAGTTTTCCAGGGTCCCTTTTCACCTCTGACTTGGCACTGAAACTGCCTTTGTTGAAGGCTGGAAGGTCTCACGCATAGGCCAGCATGAAGGAGCTGAAAGACAGCCTCCTTGGGTGGTCTTCCCTGCTCAGGGGAGGGGAGATGGGGGTTATTACTTGATAGGCACTTCATTTCCTAGTTTTCTTGTTCTGGAAACTTATCCCTCGGAAACTTATACCTCGGCTTCCTTGATCCCACACCCTTTGGATTTTCCTCCTCACGCTGTTGCTCCTCACTCTTTTGCTGGTGACTCTTAGGTGGCCCTTCCTTAAATGGTGACATTCTTCCTGGTTCTCTGCAAGTCTTGCTTCAGCTCTCACTCTGCTTGTGCTTCTCAGGCTCTTCTCTCCCTTCCCAAGTTTCAGCTGCTTTCTAAGCAGAGAGTTTCTGGATTTTCCTTTCCAGGACCTCCTTCTATTCAGTGCCAATATCTTCACTTGCATGTGTGACAGTTCCAAAGTGAGATGTATCTTCTGCTGTCCCCGACCTCCCAGCTGCCCCTCCAGAGTGTCTTGGGCCAGTGAGTAATACCAGCATCCACTCTCCCAGGGTCTCAAAAGTATCTCAAAAGTATGGGAGTCCCTGTGGCCCCTCTCTCCCTCAGCCCTGCATCCTATTGCTACCAGGTCCTGGCTGTTCTGCTTCCGAGTTCTTTTTTTATTTTTTTAAATTGTATTTATTTATTTATGAGAGACACAGAGAGAGAGGCAGAGACACAGGCAGAGGGAGAAGCAGGCTCCATTCAGGGAGCCAGACGTGGGACTCCATCCCGGGTCTCCACGATCACATCCTGGGCTGCAGGCGGCGCTAAACCTCTGTGCCACCAGGGCTGCCCTTGTTTTTTTGTTTTTTAATTTTATTTATTCATTTATGAGCGACACACACACAGAGAGGGGGGGGGGGCAGAGACACAGGCAGAGGGAGAAGCAGGCTCCATGCATGGAGCCCGAAGTGGGACTCAATCCCGGGTCTCCAGGATCACGAGCTGGGCTGAAGGCGGCACTAAACCGCTGAGCCACCCAGGCTGCCCTGCTTCTGAGTTTAACCTGTTCGCTCCCTTCCTACAGTTCTTATTGCCACTACCTCATTAAAGCCACCATCATCTCTGTCTTAGATTGTAGCCAGTCCCAACTGGTCTGATTTCTTCGGTTCACTCAGTCTTCACTTTGCAGCCAAGATTTTCTTGCGGTGCTGGTCTGATATGAGGCCACTTGTTTTGGACTCCTTAAATCGGCCTACGAGACCTAGTCTGGGTAGTCTTCACCATCGCTATGGGTTTAGGTACCCCTCATGCAGGCTCTCAGGTGCCTTACTTTCCCTCATGTCCTGATGTAGCACTCAGTGCATACTGTGCTGTGACTGGTGGTTGAGTTGTCTTCCCTATTGAACCGTGTAGGCAGTCTGCCTGCTTGTCTAGTCTGGTGCTAAATGTCTAAATAGATATTTATTAAATAAAGCATGTATTTAACTATTTTGCCTCGCTCAAAATTCTCTTCTAAGAAACTACCTTTGTTTAATCCTGGTTATTTACTCAGAGCTTAAGGACTCAGAATTGATTTGCACTTGTGAAAATGCTGCAGTTTTCATGGGTTTGAGTGTTTCCTGGACTGGTTGCTTTTTCTTTGACCCTAGCTGAAAAATGCAGAGCCTGGAGCACTTGTTCCTCACAGACAGAGCCCTATTTGTAGAGTAGGTGTGTGCAATAGCAATGGTTTGGCTTAGTAGGTACCAACAACAGGAAAATAGCAAACAGGTTCAGTTGGATTTTTTTTGACATTTGGAAAACATCTTATATGTTAATAATAAATGGAATGAATTTTTATTTGTATTTATTTTTTAAACTTTTTTTCTTAAAAGATTTATTCATTTATTTGAGGAAGGATGGAGGAAGTGGGAGGAGGGATTGGGGGAGAGGAAGGGGAGAGCAGAGAGAATTTCCAGCAGACTCTGCAGAGTGTGGAGCCCATTGTGGGGCTGATCCCAGGACCCTGAGGTAAGACCCACACAGAAACTGAAAGCCAGACGCTTATCTGGTTGAGCCACCTAGGTGCCTCTAAAATTTTTTCCTAATTTTTATTGATTAATCTCTTCCCCCAACTTGGGGCTTGAACTCACTACCTTAAGATCAAGAGTTACTTGCTCTATTGACCAAGCTAGCCAGGTGCCCCTGGGATTAATTTTTTTTTTTTTAAATAAAAAGGATGGTGTTGGGGCAGCCCCGGTGGCTCAGCGGTTTAGCACCACCTTCAGCCCAGGGTGTGATCCTGGAGACCTGGAATCGATTCCCACATTGGGCTCCCTGCATGGAGCCTGCTTCTCCCTCTGCCTGTGCCTTTGCCTCTCTCTCTGTCTCATGATTAAATAAATAAATCTTAAAAAAAATAAAAAATAAAAAGGATGGTTTTAAAGGGGTGCCTGGGTGGCTCAGTCAGTTAAGCATCTGCCTTCAGTTCAGGTTATGGTCTCAGGGTCCCGGGATAGAGCCCCGAGTTGAACTCCACACTCATCAGTAGAGAGTCCACTTCTCCCAACCACCCCTCTCCCCCTCTGGCTAGTGTGCATGCTCTTAAGTAAGTAAGTAAATAAATAAATACGGCTTTTTTTTTTTTTTTTTTAAAGAACAGTGTTTAGAGCACCTGGCTGGCTTAGTGGAGCATGCAGCTCTTGATCTCAAGGTTGTAAGCTTTAGCCCCATGTTGGGGGGAGAGAGTACTAAAAAAAAATAATAAAACTTAAAAAAACAAAAGACAATGGTCAACTTTAGAAGTCCCAAGAAATGCAGATTGAGAGGAGATACCATTTTTTTGAATTTAAATCTTTACATTAAAAGATGTTTGCTAATTAAACTCTTCGATGCAAGTGAAAATCAACATAGGCAAGGATAAAGTGAGTTACCAGTGGCCATGTAAGCTAATACATGTTTTTGGAGAACAATTTGTCAATAGGTGTTATATTATTAAAATGTTTACACTCTCTTGTTACTCCTGATTTTAAGACTAGCTTAAGGGAAAAAGCAGTAAGCATGAAGAAGTTCCTTATAGCATTATTTGTAGTAACAAAAATGTAGGGCAACGTAAGTGTCCAAAGGAGGGGAAATATAATATTAGTGGAATATTCACTCAGAATTATGTAGTTAGAAATGATGTTTAGAAGATAGAGCTATGTGGGCAGCCTGGGTGGCTTAGCGGTTTAGTGCTGCTTTCAGCCCAGGGCCTGATCCTGGAGACTTGGGATCAAGTCCCCTGTTGGGCTCCCTGCATGGAGCCTGCTTCTCCCTCTGCCTGTGTCTCTGCCTCTCTCTCTGTGTCCCTCATAAATAAATAAAATCTTAAAAAAAAGAAGATAGAGCTATGTATATTGATATGGAAAGATAACTAAGAGATACCAAGTATAATGCCATTTGTATTAGTTAATATAAGAAATTATGACTATACAGTTCTGGAGATATATAAGAGGAAACAGCACTGGGTAGAAGGAGGCAAGACATTTAAAAATTTTTTTATATCATCTGTAGCAGTTGAGGTTTTTTTAAAACTCCGTATGTTATAGTAAAACAAAATTGTAAAAGATGATTATGAAGGCTGTTGTAAAGATAAAAATATTTGAATGTCAAACAACAAGCTGCAAAATTGGACATGTAGTTGTCTATGTGACAAAAGAATAGAAAAAGAAGAGATAAGATCAGTAATGTTAAAGTCCTAGGATATTTTTGAATTTCTCTATTTTCCAGTTAGAAGTTCTTTTATATAATGTGAAGATAGTTTTTTTTTTTAAGATTTTATTTATTTACTTGGAGAGTCAGAGCATGAGCAGAGGGGAGAGGCAGAGAGAGCGAGCTTGGGATCATGACCTGATTTGAAGGCAGATGCTTAACTGACTGAGCCACCCAGGCACCCAATGTGAAAATAGTTTCAACCAAATAGTTATATGCTTAAAAATCATGAAGAGGGACTAATTATTATAGATGGATTTGCCCTATCAGAAATTGCATGTCCTCATGTGAGGGTCTTTTCCTTCTTCCCTTTTGCCTCTGGACTCAGGCTGTAGTGATTCTCTTCCTTCTGTGCAGAGCCCACCCACTTTCGGATTCTTGTTGGACATCGATGGAGTGCTGGTGCGGGGTCACAGAGTGATTCCCGCTGCTCTGGAAGCCTTCCGCAGGTTGGTGAACTCTCGTGGGCAGCTGCGGGTGCCCGTGGTCTTTGTCACAAATGCTGGGAACATCTTACAACACAGCAAAGCCCAGGAGCTGTCAGCCCTACTGGGATTTGAGGTAAGAGGCACTGGAGACATGGAAGCCCAAGGAGCTGGTTGCCAGTGGAACCCCCATTCCAACTCTGATTAAGCTGCCTTTCCTGGGTTGGGGTACAGTGTCAATAAGCTCTAGGGCATTGCCAGATGGGTCAGTATTAGAAGATAACTTGAAGTTCAACCCTAGCCTCATGGGTAGAGCCTTACAGCAAGGGCATTTTTTATATATTAATTCACATTGAGCACAAAAATTCTGCCCATGGATTTGGCAGTTTCAGTCTGCTGTCTTTGTATCCATTTCTTTCTGGGCATCAGTGTTGTCTCTTGGATTATCAGCCATTGGAAAGCGAGGGTCACATTTTTCTAAATCTCTATATGCCAGGTGGGACTCTGAGGTAATCGCCTTTGTTTCTCATAATGAAGAGGTACATATCTGAGTGAGCATTGTCCCCCGGAAGCAGTCCCTCTTCATCCACTTGCAGTTCCACGTGGCATATCCACGTTGACACATCCTTTGTTCAGAGTGGGTTGAGTTCTTCAAGAGTCCTTCAGAACCAAGAGAGTAAAGTGGCTGATTGACTGGATAACACTGCCTGGGGTTGAATGCAGAACAAAGGAGTACAACTGGCTCCCTTCTGTGGTTTCCTGGAGAGAGTTCCGAAAACATTTTGAGTATTGGCTGCATCGTTGGAGTTAGTACTATAAATGTTATAAAAGCTAAGTCTTAAAAAATAAAAAAATAAAAAAAAATAAAAGCTAAGTCTTTGAGTAGAATTGAAACCAGGAAAAAAAAAAAAAAAAAAAAAAAAAAGAAAGAAAGAAACCAGAAAGTCAGAGGCCGAGTTCTGTGACTGACAAAGAATGTCAGTCTTTGATGACATTTACATTACATTGTAAACCTTGAGGTCTCCAGATGGAGGAACCAAGCAGGACTGGATTGGCAAGTGGTCAGATCCCACCACCAACGGCACTTCCTGGTTTGGTTTTTGTGGCAAGAGCCAAATTAGCTTCTTATACCTGTTTGGGTAGTGTCTAGAAGTGCTGGGTGTCAAAAAGGGCTCCGCCCCTTTTATCTGGGCAGTTTTTTCCCTTCCTAGGTGAAAGAAGCCATCATGTCCCCATTACTTTCCTTTTACTACTCTGTCCTCTGCTCTCCTCTGTGTTTTGGCTGTCCCCACAGGTGGAGCCGGACCAAGTCATCCTCTCTCACAGCCCCATGAAGCTCTTCTCGCAGTATCACAGCAAGCGAATGCTGGTGTCTGGGCAGGGGCCTGTGGTGGAGAATGCCCGAGTGTATCCTTTTGGTGCTTGTTCTGGCTAGTGAGGAAGGCTCAGGACTGGAGTTCTCCTCCCATGGCTGAGGGGGAAACCAGAGTGGGGTGTTTCTGGCTGCATAGTATGGGGGCTCAAAGGATACGTAGTGGGCTCTTTGGAGAGGGAGGATGGCTCCCAGATGTGGCGGGCCCTGGTACCACAGTTTGCAAAAAGCCAGCCCACAGAACCTACTGGGGAGCTTAAAATACATATTCTTAGTTCACTGCTGATAAAAATCAGCAGTCTGTATGTTACAAGAGAAAAGTAGGTGATTCTCTAATTAGGTTTGAGAACCACTACTCCAGCACTGTTCCTCAGGGTGCTCAGTCAACTTATCAGCTAATATTAATTATTTACAGTGAACCTTTTGGGTATGTGCACACTCAAGAGGCAAGAAGAGTTGGTCCCTGTTCTCAAGCAGCTTTTTCATTTGCTCATTTGGGAGACCTGTGTTGAGCACTTCTTGTATACCAGCCCCATGCTTCATGCTCTTCAAGGACAAGAGGGACTGAGAACAGCCCATGGGACTCTGTCTTCATCAAAGGGTTTATATTGGAGGAGGCAGGAATAACATACCCACAAAGGTTAAAGGAGTATTTAAAATGGCATATGATTGGAGTGCCTGAGTGGCACAGTTGGTTGAGTGTCCCAAGTCTTGATTTCAGCTCAGGTTGGGATCTCAGAGTTGTGAGATTGAGGCCTTGAGTCAGGCTCCATACTGGATACAGAATCTGTTTAAGATTCTTTCTCTCTGTTCCTCTACGCCCCGCCTCTACTCCCTCTCTAAGAAAAAGAAAAGATTCCCAAGCCTTGACCCAGCAGTGATTTGCATTAAAAAAAAAAAAAAAAGATGCCATGTGATTGAAAGCTTGAGAGCACAGTCTGAGAGTCCCAGGTGTTGGGAAGGGACCACCTGGGGAGCGGGGAGCGGCTATCATGGTGGCTTTGTGAAGGGGTGTGGCTCTGCCACAGGAGATACTTAGGTTTTCTGTGCAGGGAAGGAGCTAAGGAGGCTGGAGAGAGAAGGAAAGGGTAGGATCCCTGAGGCAGGAGACTGGATTGGGATAGGGTGGGGAATAAGAGAATAGGAGGAGCGGTGCCTCAGAAGGGGAGCCTCAGAAGTAAAGGCGAGGGGCCAGTGAGTTTACTTAGGCAGGGGGTGCACTAGTTTGGTTGGGACTGTGTTGGTTCTCCTCCCCTTACAGGCATCTTGCCTCAGAACTGTCCAGCTTTGCTTCCCTGACCTAGCTGTAGATTGGGCTTCGAGAATGTGGTTACTGTGGATGAGCTGCGGATGGCCTTTCCTGTGCTTGACATGGTTGATCTCCAGCGGCGGCCGAAGTCCACGGTAATAAGGAATGTGCTCTTGGGTGTCTCACGTTTAGTTTTGTCCTCTTGTTCTCCACATGGGTTCCTCTTACCAACCTTTGCAACCTCTCCCACTGAGAACTACATCTTGTTCACCATAGAGAGGCACATCTGACCAAGGATTTTGTTCCCCAGATATACAAGGATGGCCCAGGAGAGCAACAGGCTCCTAAGGGCTTTCCTTTCTGCATTGTTTGTAATTAGCTGAGAATCCTTTTCAAAGCCCTGGCATCTCCAGTGAGGAGTTTTCTATTTTACCAGCTGGACTTCTGACTGTTGCTTGGGAGAATCATTAACCTTTGTGGAATTAATCATTGTTGCTCCTTTATTCTGAAGCTTGCTATGGAGAGCTGTCCTTATGAGAAATAGCTTATTCGTAAAAGTAACTGGCAATTCTGAGTATGCCCATGTTCCTTTTTAGGTTGGCTCATAATTGAACCACTGGTTGAATTTCTTAGTCATGGGCCTCTGATTGATCCTTTAGAGTATGACTGCCTGGCTCTTGATGGCTCTTGGCTGCCCTTCCTCGTGTGAACTCTCTGTCACATGGCCTGCAGTTTAAATCAGGTCACTATCAGGATGTGGGGAAATGCAGTTATAAACAGACAAACTTTTATTTGTTTATGTAGCCTTAGTCCTCCTTCCTCTAGAGCTTTTGGATTGAATGGAGCACTTCATCTCCTTTCAAAGCTTCTTCCTAGGACCATGCAAATCATGTGGGGAACCAGAATGTCAGACTTGGAACAGATCTTAGAGTATCTCAGAGACTGAGCCTCACACAGGGGAAGTGATCTACCCCAGATCACACAGCTTGTTAGTGGTAGAGCCAAGATTAATAGTTTAGGGAAGGAATGGACTCTGGGAGAGTGGTAAAGGCTCTTGCCTCTTCGTCTCATATTAAGAGAAATGGTCCATCATGCCCTGATGGCCTCCCCTGTCTCCATAGGCTCTCCTTCCTCTTAGCCGCCTGACTCTAGACTCTTGCTTGGCCTATATCTCACCTCCTGTCTCCTCTGGAGAGGGGCTACTGACCAGCCCTTCCTCCTGGCTGACCTCCATATGTGGGTTCCCTCAGTGTGTTCCATGAAAGCCCTGCTTATTCTCTCTTCACTTTTGTTTGTGAATTTTCTTCCTCAGTCCTATCTGGCTTCTCTTTGGCTTGGGCTAGACCATGGGGGGTGGTCTTTGATCTTTCTAGTATGTCTTTTTTCCTGCTACCCCTTGAAACTGGCTATGTGGTTGTCTGGTAGTGGACAATGACCGTGGCATTGATGGGCCTTTTCTTTGTTTCTTGACAGCCCCTTCCAAGGAATGACTTCCCTGCCATTGAAGGTAATGAGGGCCTCTGCTGGTGCAGATGCGGCTCTGGGCGGTCCTTCTTTCAGCCTTCCAGGTTGTTCTCGTGCAGCTGTTTGCCTGTAAACTGGCAGGGTGGCTGTGGGTGTTGGATATCAGGTCACCGGGGTTCTAGTCTCAGATCTACCACTCAGTACCTCTAAGATAATTGTTTTTAATTTTTCCTTCCCCCCATATCACTTGCCTTATTATTCCAGGAAAATTGTAAGTGTAGAAAACTGTAGCATGGAAAGGCTCCCAGAGGTAACATAGACCAGTATTTCTCAGCTCCATTCAACCCAGTTCCCCCTTGTGTAACAAAACTATTGTAATGTCCCCTTAACTGCCCTGCAATGAAATTCACAGATAATACACCTTTTGTGTATACATGTATTAAAAATTAACTAGTTCAATGTAAAGCCCTAATTGTAATAGGAGAAATAAAAGGAAAACTTTTTAGTAAGGTAATGTGTATTTCAATATGTAAACGATTATTCAGGAAAACATAATGTAGTAAAATGGTTATACCAAACATGGAATCACCATGTTACAGCTACAAATGCAGACTGATGTAAGTATGTTTATAGGTGTGTTTTATTGGTGACTCAGAAATTAGGGGCTGCATTGTCATTGGTGAAGTGATTTTCCAAAATAGGTAGCATTGGTAAAATCTTGAAAAGATAAAGTGCAGTCTTCTCTTGACTTACGTACATGATAGTTGCATTTTTAGAAAAATTGGTATTTATTAAAACTCTACTTTGTGTTTACATGTAGAATGAAATTAGAGTTTAGGCTCAAATAATTATAAACAGGTTATTCACCCATATGAATGTCAGATGGGGCAGTCAGATGTTAATAGAGGGGGCAGTTTCTGATTGTTCCAGACCATCCTGAGCATCTAGCATTCCTGGTCCCCTCCTACCATCCTTGCCACTGTCAGTCATCATGACAAGATACATCCTCCAGTTTCTAGGACACCTCCCTAGGGGGCAGTGTTCCCTCATTGAGACCTCATTGAGACCTCATTGGTTTGGTTTAGTCACTGGTCTTGTAGCTGATGCTGGCAGCTACCATGTATTGAGTGTTATGTGTCCATCATGAGTTAAGTGCTGTATTATATCTCATTTTTACCCTGAACAGTCGTAGGTGTCCTTATGATGTAGTTGAGCTGAGGTTAGGGAAGGTAAGTAGCTTGCCCACAGTCACAGAGGAAAACGGACAGTCAGGTTTGGAATCCAGGTCTTTGTCATTCCAGATTCCCCTCTCCTAGCTGTTAGGTGCACTGGCCCCTGGTGCTCTGAGAAGTAGCTGAGGAAGGTGAGCCCTTTGCCAGGAATTTGTGGGTGAGATGGTCAGGAGAACATGAGTCGGCAGGAGGACGCAGGCCAGTGACTTGGCTGCTGGTTTTCTTTGTTTCAACCTCTTCTGTGAAGCATAAATAAAAATGGAATCCCTTAGGAAGTGCCTTACCAGGTCCTGGGCTCTGTTTACCTCAAGTGAATGAGTGAGTGGATCTTTGAAGGCTGGTTCTGGGAACTGTACCCTTGCATGGGTGTGTTCTGTGGGGGACAAACTTATGGTTGGGTGGCACCAGCTGGTATCAGCTTGCTTCATGAGGGTCTTTCTCCTGCCTGCCCTGTAACCCTCACCTCCATGCTTTTGCTCTATAAAGGGGTGCTCCTCCTTGGGGAGCCAGTCCGCTGGGAGACAAGCCTGCAGCTGATCATAGATGTCCTTCTCAGCAATGGGAACCCTGGGACTGGTCTGGCAACGGCTCCCTATCCCCATCTCCCTGTCCTGGCCAGCAACATGGATCTCCTTTGGATGGCTGAAGCCAAGATGCCCAGGTAAGGACACAGGGTCTCTGGTCTTTTTTTTTTTTTTTTTTTAATTTTATTTTATTTTTATTTTTATTTTTTTAAATTTTTATTTATTTATGATAGTCACACACACACACACAGAGAGAGGCAGAGACACAGGCAGAGGGGAGAAGCAGGCTCCATGCACTGGGAGCCCAACGTGGGTTTTGGTCCCGGGTCTCCAGGATCGCGCCCTGGGTCAAAGGCAGGTGCCAAACCGCTGCGCCACCCAGGGATCCCAGGGTCTCCGGTCTTGACCGTGGTGGCCACTTTCAGCTGCTGCCTGGGCAATCCTCCTGACACTTTCTTACCATCATTCTGGTACTCTGGGCCATCAGACCCCTGCCTGGGTTGGCCCTATATTTGCCACAGAGACTTGGCCTTTGGGAGGATTTTCAAGGGGTCACTTTGCATACTAATTAGTAAGTGAAAAGTATAGCTTACTGATCACTGAAGATATGTCGAAATGATCTTTAACACCTGACTTTTGCCCTCCAGAATCTTTTGTTGTTGTTGTTTAAAATTTTATTTATTTGGGGGGATCCCTGGGTGGCGCAGCGGTTTGGTGCCTGCCTTTGGCCCAGGGCGCAATCCTGGAGACCCGGGATCGAGTCCCACGTCGGGCTCCCGGTGCATGGAGCCTGCTTCTCCCTCTGCCTGTGTCTCTGCCTCTCTCTCCCTCTCTGTGTGACTATCATAAATAAATAAAAAATTAAAAAAAAATTTTATTTATTTATAGCATGAACAGGAGGGGCGGAGGGAGAGGGAGAGAGACACTCTATGCTGAGCCCAGAGTACAATGTGGGGCTCGATCCCATGACCCCAAGATCATGACCTGAGCTGAAACCAAGAGTCAGATACTCAACCAGCTGAGCCACCCAGGTGCCCCTGCCCTTCATAATCTTAACGGAACATTTTTTTTTTAGACGTTTAATTTTTTTAAAGTAATCTCTGCCCCCATTGGGGGCTCAAACTCAGAGCCCTGAGATCAGGTGTTGCATGCTCCATTGGCTGAGCCTGCTGGGTGACGCCAGAACATGATATTTTTTTGTCTGTGGAACCCAAATGATGGATGACTTCTGAGGCCAAGCAGTACAGCTGCTCCTCTTTGCCTTCTCCTTGTAGCACTAGTTCCTTCCCATTTTGTCTCTTCCTGCCCTTAATATGTAGGAGTAGGGGAGCAGTAATTGTTCTGACAGTTATGTGGGCTGGAGAACTGAGACCCAGTGGGTAAGTGACTTTCTCATAGGCACATGGATAGTGAACAGGCCCCCATGCCCTGCTCAGCTGTGTAGACCTCCTCTGTGTGTCTGACCCTAAGCACAGTCTAGGCAGCTCTTTTCCTAGCTCTCGAGGGCCTTGCTGGAAGGGCAGCTGTGGCTGCTGTGTACTATTTGGCTGCTCTTATCTGCGGGGCCAAAGTCCAGAGTTTTCTTTCCCTGCTACTGATTCCCAGTGGACTGTGTAAATGATCCATCAACAGAGGGCAGCAGGCCCAATGCTGCCTCAAGTCACATGACTCAGTAACTCCAAAGAGATGGTGTTATGGTGTTCTCTTGTTACTTTATTTTTTTTAAGTCCATAATTATTATTATTTATAAATTTATTTTTTATTGGTGTTCAATTTGCCAACATATAGAATAACACCCAGTGCTCATCCCATCAAGTGCCCACCTCAGTGCCCGTCACCCAGTCACCCAACCCCCATCCACCTCCCTTTCTACCACCCCTAGTTAGTTCGTTTCCCAGGTTTAGGAGTCTCTCGTGTTCTGTCTCCCTTTCTAATATTTCCCACTCATTTTTTCTCCTTTCCCCTTTATTCCCTTTCACTATCTTTTATATTCCCCAAATGAATGAGACCATATAATGTTTGTCCTTCTCCGATTGACTTATTTCACTCAGCATAATACCCTCCAGTTCCATCCATGTCAAAGCAAATGGTGGGTATTTGTCATTTCTAATGGCTGAGTAATATTCCATTGTATACATAAACCACATCTTTATCCATTCATCTTTCGAGGGACACTGAGGCTCCTTCCACAGTTTGGCTATTGTGGACATGGCTGCTATAAACATTGGGGTGCAGGTGTCCTGGCGTTTCACTGCATCTGTATCTTTTTTTTTTTTTTTTAAGAGACTGTGTATATGTTATTTCCTGGGTGAAGGGGCTAGGACTCAGGAGCTCTGCTGGGCAGCGCGAAGGAGCTTCTCCTCCCGCTGCTTCCGTATCCTCTCTTTGAATTCTTCTAGCTCCCGACGTTGGTCCTCCTTCTCAGGTGGCCACAGCTCCCTCTTGCGCTGTATGACATAGTCCTCAAACCACTCGGCCTGATTGGCAATCCAGAACATAGCGACAGGGAAATGAGGTAGAGTGTCATCCAAAACACCTCCAGCTTCACCTCCATCTCGCTTCTCCTCCTGCATCTGTATCTTTGGGGTAAATCCCCAGCAGTGCAATTGCTGGGTCATAGGGCAGATCTATTTTTAACTCTTTGAGGAACCTCCACAGAGTTTTCCAGAGTGGCTGCACCAGTTCACATTCCCACCAACAGTGCAAGAGGGTTCCCCTTTCTCCGCATCCTCTTCAACATTTGTGGTTTCCTGCCTTGTTAATTTTCCCCATTCTCACTGGTGTGAGGTGGTATCTCATTGTGGTTTTGATTTGTATTTCCCTGATGGCAAGTGATGCGGAGCATTTTCTCATGTGCTTGTTGGTTCTCATGTGCTATGTCTTCCTCTGTGAGATTTCTGTTCATGTCTTTTGCCCATTTCATGAGTGGATTGTTTGTTTCTTTGCTGTTGAGTTTAATAAGTTCTTTATAGATCTTGGATACTAGCCCTTTATCTGATAGGTCATTTGCAAATATCTTTTCCAACTCTGTAGGTTGTCTTTGAGTTTTGTTGGCTGTTTCTTTTGCTCTCTTGTTACTTTAAAGGGTATATTTCTGGGCAGTCCAGGTGGCTCAGCAGTTTAGCCGCCTTCAGCCCAGGGTGTGATCCTGGAGACCCGGGATCAGGTCCCACGTCGGGCTCCCTGCAGGGAGCCTGCTTCTCCCTTTGCCTGTGTCTCTGCCTCTCTCTCTCTCTGTGTGCCTCTCATGAATAAATAAATACAAATCTTAAAAGAAAAAAAAAGGTACATTTCTGCAGTTGGAGGTCAGATATTTTTTTCCGAACTGTTCTTCCTACAGTTTGGGTGTGCTGACACTAAGGGGGAGTTTGTTTATGTAGGCTGGAATGGAACAGCAAGGCACAAATTTCAATTTATAAATCAGATTTGAGATTAACTTTCATTCACTCATTTAAGAATTGAAAATAGAAAAAAAAGAATTGAAAATAGAATTTGTTATATAAAAAAGTGATACAGAAATGTAACCATAATGTGTTGGACAGTATCAATTAGGATTTGGTTTAGAAGCCTGGGATGAAAACTCAAAAGGAAAGTATCTTAAACAAGGTAGAAATTTCTTTCTTTTTCATGTAAAAGAAGCATGGGGGTAGGCTGTCCAGGGCTCTGTGGATGTCACACCTGTCTGAGACACAGACTCCTCCTGTCTTCCTGCTGTGCACGTCTTAGCCCTTCACAGCATAGTCCCAAAGGGCTGCCTGAGCTCCAGCTGCCAGACCAACATTCCAGGCAGCAGAGAGGAGGGTGGGGATGGAAAAGAGTACTCGCTCCCTGATTTTACACGTTCTAGAAGTTTAGCCTGGTGAGGCTGCACACCTAGCTACAGTGGAAGGGAGTACTTGTTTGTACACCTGGTTGCCATATGGTGAGCTAAAAACTGGCACTGAGAAAGAAGGGGAGAAGGGCAGCCAATAGTCTGCCACACATTTAAAGTGGAATTTAAACTTAGATTTGTGGAGTCTGACCACCTGGGTTGTGATCCTAGATCTACCACCTTTGGCAAGTTACATAATGTCTGTATGCCTCAGTTTGCTCACTTGTAAATGAGAATGATGACAGCTCTCATGGGGTTGTCTTCTGAGAGTTAAATGTGATGTGCTATCTATAGTGCTCAACAAGTGTTAGCAGATAACAAGAGGTCATAAAAGTAAGGTAATAAGTGTAATTCTTACTAGACATAATTATCTGTCACCAGATAAAGGCTGCTGGAGTGAAAGGTTGGTGTATAGGGTCCTGCTTGGAACTGGGGAGGGGAGTCCTGAACCGCTGAGGTCTCTTCTCTGGCAGGTTTGGCCATGGCACCTTTCTGCTGTGCCTGGAAACCATTTACCGGAAAGTGACAGGCAAAGAACTGAGATATGAGGGCCTGATGGGCAAACCGAGTGTCCTCACGTATCAGTATGCAGAGGACCTCATCCGGCAGCAGGCAGAGAGGCGGGGCTGGGTGGCCCCCATCCAGAAGCTCTATGCTATCGGGTAAGTGCTATTCCATCTCATCGTTTTTGGACTCCCCTGCCCTTCCTCCCTCCATCCTCATCCACTGTTCCCCTGTATCGGATATATGCTAGCCCCACAACTATCCTCTGCTCTCTCTGCCTGGTGACACTGAATTGGGTCTTGTTCTCTTTCTTTTTCCGGTATGGCTGTCTCTGCCAGCGACAACCCTATGTCTGATGTCTACGGTGCCAACCTGTTCCACAAGTACCTGCAGATGGTGAAGCGTGATGGGGCCGAAGAGCGAGGGGCTGGTGGCTTGTGGAAGCCGCGGCCCTCAGCAACCCAGAGCTGTGCCTCTATCCTGGTGTGCACTGGTGTGTACAGTCCCAAGGGCCCAGAAGCCACTAGGCCTGCTCAGGATGCAGAGGAGGCTCCGTTCCACGGCCACCGGGACTTCAGCTTCAGTCCAGGGCTCATGGAAGCATCCCACATCGTGAATGATGTGAATGAGGCTATACAGCTGGTTTTCCACAAGGAGGGTTGGGCTTTGTAGTGGGGGCTGTCCGTCGGAGACAGGGGCAGGCGGGATGAGCTCCAGGGGAGTCCTGTTGACTAGCTTCTGGCCTGGGTCACTGGGTGTCAGGTCAGGGTTGCTTCCGTGACACTCTGTGGCCCCACAATGGATATTACTGGTGCCTTGGAAGAAGACACTGGCTTTTTCTCCTGCTGGGCAGTTGCCCCAGAATTGTACCCGGGTAACGTTTTGGGTAGAACAGCCAGGATTTTCTGGCCCTGTTCCTGTCTGCTTCTCCTGGCAGTCTGACCTCAGGCCAGTCGCTTTACCTCTGTGCCTCGGTTTCTTTTTTCATTTCAGTAGGGACTTCTGAAAAAAGGGGAAGTGGAGTGAAATAACGTGGAAATTTCTGCAGAGCCTGGCCTGCACTGAAGGCACCACTGCATGCCATGCCAGCAGTGTGTCACTAACACTAAAATACTGCTTTTTACTGTATTTTAGCTTATTGCCCAGAGACTTTTAGGCTTATTTTTTAAACTAAAATAATCATAATAAATATTCATTATGCTGTCTATCGTGAAGCGCTTCTGGAATGTACTAAAATGTCCTGTGGGGGCTGGATAGTGGGTGAGCAATGTGGGTGACCCCAAAGCAAAGACATTGGTGCCATTTTGCTCCATAAAGTGCTGATTGATAACTCCTTTCCTACCTCGGCTCTCCTTCCCACCACCAAACCACCGCTGGCCTGTGAAGCCCGAGTCTGTCTAGGAATTAGTTATGCCCAGGCTTTGGCATGTACTTGACAACTCTGATGTAGAAAAGAAAGGATCTTGTATATGGTTTGTTCTGAAAGAAGGAGCTTTTTTCCTTTAGTGATCCTGGAAAGTATGTTTCTTCTCTTTTTCCCTCTAGGGGCAGTCTAGTCACGCTTTTCTGTGATCTGTGTTGCCCATGACCCCATGTTTACCAGATCCCCTGGTCCTTGCCCTCCTGTTACTCTAGCAGTCATTTGCCTGAGACACAAGCTGGTGACTCCCTCCTCTCTTCTCAAAATACTGTTACTCGACGGTATCTGACTGCCTTCCTGACCTCTTTGGATGCCTGGTAGTCATTTAGAAGGGAGAGAACATAGGAGATTGGGAAGGAGTGGCCACTGAAACAGGAGGGGAATTGTGAGTGGGTGTTTGGGAAACTGAGTGAACATGTTTCACAAAGGAGGGAGTGATGAGCTATGCTTACTCCATAAGTATCAGCTTGGCTGTGTCCAAAGCCAAATGTAGCCCAACCCTACTGCTAGCACCCTGAGCAGCCTGGCCCCCGCTGAAGCTCCCCCCCCCCCACAGTAGACAGTAGCACTGAAGACAGTAGACTGAAGGCTTGGGCTCATCCTTGTCTTCTCCAGTCAGTCCATCAGCATATCCTGCAGCTTTGCCTTCAGAATGTACAGAGCATGAGCACTTTCCAGCCTTCAATGTTTCCCTGCTCCAGGCAGCTGGCTTCTCTGGCTCACATTGTTGTCCAGTCTGAACCTCCCTGTCTTATCTCCTCCTCCCTCTCTGAGGCTCTCTGCTCAGTGGCCCAGAAGCCAGATCCCAAGTTGGACTTCTTCTCTGATCAAAACTCTTCTGTGACTTCTTGTCTTACCCAGAGGAAGAACGCACATTCCTTTCTGCAGCACAGATGCCTCTACATCCTGTTCTCTCATTTACCCCTGTCGTACCAGTCCCCCTGACTCCCTTGCCAGTCCGGCATACCCATCCTTGTCCCAGGACCTCTGGACTTGCAGTTCCTTCTACCCTACTTTCACTGTCCACATTATGGTTCACTCCTTTCCTTTCCCCCTCCCCACATGACTTTTTTTTTTAAGATTTTATTTATTTATTCATAAGAGACATAGAGAGAGGCAGAGACATAGGCAGAGAGAGAAGCAGGGTCCACACAAGGAGCCTGATGTGGGACTCGATTCCAGGATCCTGGGATCATGACCTGAGCTACCCAGGTGCCCCCCTCATCACTTCTTAAATGTCTCATGTATACGTCATCTCAAAGAGACTCCCTCAGCTTCCTATAACAAGTAGTACTCTATCCCTCTTAACTGCTTAATTTTTTCTATAGTCCTTATCACCTCATGGTCTATATTTACTTTTTTATTCTGTGTCTTCTATTAAAATACAAGCTCCATGGACTTTGTCCGTGTTGATTCACTCATGTGTCCTCCATATGCCTGGCACTTAGTAGGTTCTCAGACCCCCTGAAGCCCTCCCATAGTGTCCTTGAAACAAACATGATTTTTTTTTCTTTTCCCTTGGACATTATGGCAAAAGTGAAAAGACTATGGGTCTTGGAGTCAGGCAGACCTAGAATCAAATCCTAGCTGTCACTCACTAGCTATGTGGCTTTGGGTAATTTCCTTCACTTCTCCAAGCTTCCATTTTCTCATCTGTAAAATTGGCACTGGCAATGTGTATTTCATAAAAGAGCTATTTTAAGTACAGTACTGTATCATTTAAGATTTTGTTCAGCAGCTTGTTAAAGAAATCTAACTACAGTGGCTTGAATAAATAGGTGGTTATTTCTCTAACCAATAGGAAGTTCAGAGAAGGCATTTCAGGTTGGGGAAACAGCTCAAGGCTGTCATCAAGGAGCCAAGTGCTTGGCCTACCATCCTTACTGTGTGTGTGTCTAGTTGCAAGATGACATCATTACACCCTTTGTCTCTCATCCACATTCCAAGGAGGAAGGAGGACAAGGTGAAGACAAAGCAAGTGGAGCTGAATTCCTTCATTTATTTATTTTTTAAAAAATTTATTTATTTGAGGGACACAGCACAGAGTTGCAGGAGTCTGGGAGAGAGAAGCAGACTCCCCACTGAACAGGGAGCCCGACATGGGGCTTAATCCCAGGACCCTGGGATCATGACCTGAGCCAAAACCAGATGCTTTAACCAACCAAGCCACCCAGGCACTTTGAGCTGGATTCCTTTAAAAGAACTTTTCCAGACTTTGGTTCTGTCTGATTGACTACAGGTGGATCAGTCAGGTGGCAGTAGCTACAAGGAGGCAGGGACAGGATGCAGTATTGCTCAAAAACAATCAGGGTCTGTTTATAAGGAAGAATGGATGGTGGATAGGCAACTAGTAGTACAACTCTAGCACTTGAGACCTTACAAGGCATTTAACTGTATTTCTGCCAAGTGCTTTGAGGAAATGGGTAAGCCCTGGCCTCCGAAGCACCTTGTCTAACAGTCATCTGAGCTGCTGGGCTGGGTAACAGTCTTGCTAGCTTATATTTGTGCATCACTTAACCTTTTCCAAAGCATTTTAAGTTAGATGTCATTCATCCTTCTTTGTTGGAGCTTCCCAAAGCCTCTAATGGAGAATTCTTATCTCATTTTTATAAATGAAGGCACTGAGGCAGAGACTATTCATTCTTTCATTTCCAAAATATTTATGGAAGATCTGCTGGGTGCCATAGCAATGACCAGTCACTGGCAATGATACCTGCCCTCATAGAGTTCACCCTTCACTGAGGATGTGTCCAAAGTCAGTTAACAAGTGGAAGGGCTGAGTTTGCAGTTCAGTCTCCTGACTAAGCCCAGTGGTTTCCCTGAGACATGCACCATACTCTTCCTCACCCTTAGCACGCTGCCCTTTTCCAGGCAGGTAAAAAGCACTGCTTTTTATCCTGGAGCAGCTACTGTTGTATGTACGGCCCATGTGAGTTCTCCTTGGGCCAAATAGGTCAAGCTTACCAAATGGAATGACAGGTGAGTGCAGAAATGAGTTGGAAAATAAAGCCACTTAATGACTATGTGGGGAGGAATCTTGCCAGAGTCAAGATTACTTCACTGCACATTAAAATAACAGAGTGCCAACATCTCTGTGCCTGTCTGTCTCTGGCTTTTCCCTTTGGTTGCCTGTCATTCTGGCTCTGTGGCCATTTCCCTCTTGTGTTTGGGTTTCCTAAAGATACCACAAGCTATTCCAGACTGGGTGCTGAAGAGCAAGGGCATGCAACGGTACCTAAGCACATGTATGTCAGAGGGCAGGGCCAGCCGCTCAGCTCCAGTGCATCTTGTCCTTTAGGGGCGTTGTCTAGACTGTGGAACCAGAACTCACAACCAACTGCTTCATTTGCTCAGTCCCAAACTGAATGAAAATGTTGCCTTTTTGTGTTTTCATAGAGCCAAGTGAACACAAAAAGGACTTTCTAAGTCAATCTGAACAGCAAGTAGGCCCATGTTTTTAATAAAATTATTAGCATGGTACAGAACTATTCCATGGGGTGTTCACATTGAACAGAGAATTACCTTGGGTCTCCTCAGTCATCACCTAGGAGCCAGAACATAGGGGCACTTCCTTGTGTTCCCTTTGGTGGCAGCAGCTCCTGGCCTCCTGAGGACACCTCTAGGCTGCCAGAAGCAGGTGCATCTAGCAAGTTGGTAATCAGGACTCCCAGCAGAGCTAGGGTTGCCATAGCAACCGGATGCTGCCTTGAGGGTGGAATTTTAAAATATCTCAGCTATAATAGTGTTCCCCCCGCCCCCCCCCCCCCAGTCACTGTCACTTCCCCAGTGCTGCATGGTGCTGCTGAGGCTGGGGCCATCTTGGGACGCCTGTTTCTCTGCCTGGGGCTTTTGGCAGCTTCAGGGGTTGGAGGTGGGAGGATTGTCTCAGGGTGTGAACTGCTGGGAAGCTGACAGCTTTAGCTTTTGCTTCCAGGTTCCTCTAGCTCTTGGTTCCAAAAGCCTTCTGTCATTTTCTATTTTTTGGGAGGTTTAGAAAAGGGGTCTAGCTTGAAACTCTCCCCACCTCCTCCCACTCTGATTTGAGCATTCTGGCATACACTCCTACCAGATCGGCCTTAGCATTTCTGTGGACCTCTCTTTGGAGAGGGGAGGGGCGTGTCTCTTCTTGTCTTCTTGTCTTCCTCTTGTAACTTCATTTATTTACTTAGAAAATGATTGTTGAGCACCTACCTACTAAGCCCAGAGATAAGAAGTGAGAAACTGCCCTGGTCTTGAAGGAACTCACTGTTTTGACACTGGACTTGGACCCTATCCAACTCAAAACATTTTTATAAACTTGTTAAGACAGTGTTCTGTTGGCAGAAGGATACAAACCAATGGAACAATGGATGAATCGATAAAATGTGTATGTTTATATACACACATATAATGTATACATATATACAATGGAATATTCAGCTATTAAAAAGAAGGAAATCTTGGATTTACAGCAACATGGATGGGCCTTGAGGGCATGATGCTAAGTGAAATGAGTTATTGAAAGATAAATACTGTATGATCTCACTTATATGTGGAGTCTAAACAAAAACGAAAAAAAAAACCACTCTGGGGCTCACAGATTGGTGGTTGTCAGATGGGGGTTGGGGTGGACAAAATGGGTGAAGAGGCCAAGAAGTACAAGATTCTACTTATAAAATTAGTAAGTTGTGGGGATGTAATGTACAACATGGTGCCTGTATTTAATACTGTATTAAAGGGCACTTGGGTGATGCAGTTGGTTGGGTGGCCCACTCTTTGTTCCGTCTCTGGTCATAATCTCAGGGT